TATATGTGTATGTATATATGTATATGAATACATGTATATGTATATGTATATATTTAACACGGACGCAGTTGAGAGTCGATGGGGGGAGGGGGCCTGGCCCGCGGCCTAGGGCGGGGCCCGAGACTCTGGGACAGGACCCAGGGCCTCATCATCGTAGGATGCTCATCATTCTCATCATCACTATGATGGTGGGGGAGGAGGAGGACAGCTACCAACTGCGCGTTGGCGCCACCGCCGCCCCCCCGCGCCCGCTGGCGCACCCGCAGTGCGGCTGCGGGAGGGGCTGCGCCTCAATTCCTGCAGAGGCGGCCTGCAGGAGTGTTTCACTTTTGGCGCCTTGTAGAAACGCCCGAACGGCCCGCCCTTTTTTGGGGGGGCTGTCGGTTCACGAGGGAGGAGGAGACCATCATCATCCCCCGTGCCGCGTTCGCCTTCCCTCGACGACGATGTCGACGACTTCCCACGTTCTGGCTGAAAGGCGGGCCCAATTTCCCTCGTTCGGGCCGCTTGTTTTCTGGGGGGTGTTCTCGGAGTCGTTCGGGCCGTTCGTTCGTGTGTGCATGCTTCTGGAGTTTTCTGCGCGTCGTTCGGGCCGCTCGTCCTGGTGCGAGTCGTTCGGGCCCCTCCTCACCAGCCCATCTCGCAGCAGCAACTCTCGCGAAGCATGCCGACAGTCGTGTTTTTCAGGCGTGTGTCCGCTGGGCCCCGCATATCTCCCCTGTTCCTCCTTCCTCCCGCCCCCTTGTACATCCTCCTTGTGGGAAGATGCGGCCGTTTGCTCGCCCTGCGGCGCTGGGCTCGAGACAAGAGGGCGGCCGCGTGCGCGCGCGCATGGCTTCGGCCTCATGGCCGCCGCAGCCGCTCCGCCCCCAGACCCAGGAGACGCTCGCCCTGCAAACCGCGAGGCCAACGAATTTGTGGAGTTTTGGTACCAACAAGACAAAACGAAAGACCCCGACAGAGTGCTCATGAACCCACGGGAACTAAAGGGGGCAATATTCGGATTCGGGTACGTTATGCGCCGCAGCAGCGGCGCGGCTTGCCTTTGTGAATCTGGCAAACGCATATGTAAGAAGATTCATTTATGCTCGCAGTGGCCGTGTCCCAGCGACCACCGTTTGGCGGACGGTTCTGTGGACTACAATAAGTGGTCAGACTTGCAAGCGCCCTGGCATTTAGTGCATTGCGCGGACGGGTGGCCCGCAGGAGCTGGAGCCCCCGCAGCAGCGGAGGCGCCGGCCGAGGCGTGCGAGGTCCCTGTTGAAGCGGCAGCGGAGCCGTGGGTGGGCCCTGCTGAAGGCCCCGCAGCAGCGGGGCCGTCAGCGGAGGCGTGCGTGGCCCCTGCTGAAGTGGCAGCGGAGCCGTACGTGGGCTCTTCTGACGGCCCCGCAGCAGCGGGTGCGTCAGCGGAAGCGTGCGTGGCCCCTCCTGAAGTGGCGGCGGCACCGTGCGCGTGCCCTTCTGAAGGCCCCGCAACAGCGGAGGCGCGCGTAGGTCCTGCTGGCGCGCATGGCGCCGACGCTATCGCCGAGGCCGCTTCCGCAGTGGAGGCTGCCCTGAAGGACTCCGCGGCAACAGCAGCCCTCTCAGCAAAGGGGGTTGCCCCTGTCGCTTTCCCCCAACCCGCCCCGCTCGCTGTTCGCGACATAGCGGAACCCGTGCTTACAGGGGCGGAGATCGCTGCAGTGACCGCCTTTGAAAAGACAGCCGCGAATGCAGGCGCTGTGGTTGCCCCGCCCGCGCCTGCAGGGGCACTTTCAGAACGAGGCCAGAGGTGATTCGAGAAATTGATGAAGTTGTCGCGCAGTATTCGCGGAAGGCCGGGGGGAGGCCGAGAGTGGATAGGGTATTCTGCTTTCGTAATCTTTGCACTTCTGCGGAAGGTGCGCGTCTACGTGTGGGAAGGGCGGAACAGAGTCGACCTTTGCAAAGCTGTGTTGCCGCCGTGGAAATTGGAGGAGTTAACCCGCGAGCCTGCGGCGGACGCGATCGCGTGTTGCGCCGTCCCCCGAGATTCGGGGCCTCCGGACTGGGCCCCCGTGTCGGAGGAGTACCCTTTGATTCTATACAATCATTTTATCGCAGGCGTCTCCACCGACTTTGTGGACATCACGGGAGATGTTTCGACGGTGGACGGTTTCTATTCTGCTCTCGGTGTGTTCGTCGTGTCCACAGTCGCAGACGGGGACTGCGGTTTGGATTGCATGTTGCGGATGACCCAGGAGGCTTCCACGCGAGAGTCTCGCAGGGAGCTCCGCCAGGACAGTTGCTCTCTCCGACCACCCTGATCCTTCGCTTCCATCTCTGCTGCCCCCACATGCTCTCCCCCTCCTTGTCTCCCCATTTTGCCTTCATGCCTCTCCCATCGCGCCCTTCTCTCCCCTCGTGCCCTCCCCACCGAGTCTCCTTGCCCCTCCTCCATGCCCGCCCGCCAGGACATCGCGGACTACATCGTGCAAAGGGCGCGGCTGGCGTGGTTCCTCGACGCGATGGTCCTGACACAAGAAGTCGCGCAGGATGACGTCCAGGAGCTTCGTCGCCTGCAGAGCGCCTTAGACGACGAAGAACTTGTCCCGCAGCCTGGCCACGCCGCCCCCCCGAGAGCACAGGGCGTTGCCGCCGCAGCAGCGGCGGCGCCACCTGAGGACTTGGCAGGGGTGGAAGTCGACGCCGAGGCAGTCTGTCAGGAGCTCGTGCAAGCCATCCAATGGTGGACAGGACTGAAAGACGCTGCGTGCGCCCTGGACGTAGCTGGGGAGTTGATGCCCGCAGAGCGGGAGGAGCAGCTCTTGAGGTGCAGGAACCGCGGCTGCGAGCGCAAAGCCCCCGCCCAGAACAAGAAGCGCGTGGTGGTCCCGTCGCTCCTGTGCTCGAGGATGGAGATAGCGGGTGCTTTCGACGAGCACATGCGCTCTTTAGGCTGGACGCCTGGAGAGCGCTTTCCGCATGGAGGGGCGCGTTCATTCATGGATGCGTGGGACTGGGGTTCCATGTCCCGTACCTCTCTCAGGAAGCGCACGCACGTTGTGCGGCCCTGGCACAAGGCTTTTCTGTCGTCGAAATACGCCTCCGCAGTAGCGGAGGCTGTTCGGCATCCGCGGGGACACGAGACGCAGCACGGGCAGGGGCGCCTCCTGAAGTGGAAAGGGCGGAAAAGGATACCACAACAGGGACAGGGGCCAGCTCGAAAATGCCCTTGGCTGCGGCAAGCTCTGTTTGAATGGTGGAGTTCCATTCGGCGCAGTGTAGATTGGAAAACTATCAAAAGTGGAATGCGGAGTACCCAAAGAGAGCCAGCGAAGATAGCAAGGTTCACGCAAAGTATGCTCCAGACCAAAGCGTTGGAGCTCATGAGCGAGCACGTCACGCACCAGCTGCGGATCGGGCAGCGACCCGCCGCCGTGGAGTTGAGGTCGCGCTGGTGGGCCTCCTGGCGCAAGGAATACGGCCTCAGCATGCGGTACCCGAACAGGAAGCACAAGTGCCCGCTGCCCGTCTTGGAAGAGCGCCTCGAGCGAGGCTGGCTGAACGTGTTCAGGGTACGCGCCGCGTGCGTGCTACCCAACGAGGAGGATCCCGAGATGGAGAACTTCGACCAGTCGCCTTTCCACCACAATGAAACAGGATCAGCTGGCGTGAGGACCCTCGCAGTAGCGGGGGTCGAAGTGCCACTGGTGGAGTGCCGCGGCGCGGTGCGGGAGCGGTGGGCGGCCAATTTCATGACAATGAGCGACAAGGATCGACTGCGGAGAGAAGGCCCCCCACCGATGGAGTGCGTGTTCAAGGCGGAGGGGGGGGGAGAGAAGTTGAGGCCGCGCCTGCTCGAACACCTTCGGCGCCGAGGGTTCGGCAGATGGGTGTCGGCGACCACCAGCACCAAGGGGTCTTACCGGACACCGTGCGTGCTCGCGTACCTGGACCGCCACCTCCCTCATCTGCCAGAGCCTCCGCAGCAGCGGGAGTGGAGAATTATGTTGGCGGATGATCATGGCCCTCACTTGTCCCCGCTTGTGAGTAAGCTATGTTGGTCTCGAGGGTACGTGTTCATCCCGCACGGGGGCGGCGTAACCCCAATCCTCCAAACTGTGGACACACATCTGAATCAACGCGCCAAGCGCGAGCACATGAAGAGAGAAGGAGCGGCGCTGCTGAGAGCCATGAGGCTGGGCCAGTGCGTCCCACAGCTGGACAAGTTAGAATGCATTGACTTGATGGTGGAAGCGATGTCCCAAATGGGTCTTCACTTGGCTGCGGCAGAGGGGTACTGGGAAACAGGTTTCAAGGCAAATCTGTGGGATGCGGACTTGGACGCGCGCATATGCAAGGAGGCAGGCCATTCCTGGAGAAAGCTGAGGATGCGTGAGAAGGTCGCCGCCGCAGTAGCGGAGGTCGAAGAAGAGGTGCAGGCGGGGCGCTTGAGATGGACCTACAAAGACATCATGCGATTGGTCCTCCCGCACCCTCGACGCGGCCACTGCGACGACGTGTTCGCAAACCTTGGAGACGACACGGCTCTGGACGAGGGCGACAAGATTTGGCATGGCATGGAGGGGGCGGAAGACGCAGCCGAGGGTCTCCACAGCAGCGGGGGCACTGAGGGTGGCAATTCC